GTTTTACATTGACGATGAAACAAAGGATGATCAACCCAGAGAGAATTCTGCAGAAACATCAGCAATAATGCAGCAAAAGGTACCTGTGAGAGTGGTGAGACAAGCATGCTGCCTGTCCAGCACCAGGTGGCACACAAACACCAGCCAATAGCTGTGAGCATTCAGCAGTAAATGCTTCTGAGCATTTGGCAGCTAAAGAGCCAGATATGCTTCTCTGGGTGGGTAGAGAGATGGAATCAGAGCTAAAAGGAGGGGACATTTTGAACTTGCAGAGTTGTCAGCGCATTCAAATAGTTGATTCTCCCATGCACTATACTGCACATGTTCATACACTAAATGAACAACCCCACATTCATATCATGGCATGTCCCTTAAATTGATTGTAACACCTTACTCCTTGGTATGGTTTGTATCTTTCTGTCTTCTTAATTCCTGTAGAAGAAGAAGTATTTCCTCTTATTCCAATTTCAATTCAATTCAATTCAATTGTCTTTGTATAGCACCAAATCATAGTATACATTATCTACAGGCACTTTACATAGAAGGTCAAGACCTTAAAATCATATTAATATAGAGAAACCTAACAGTTCCCACAATGAGCAGCGACTGTGGAGGAAAAACTCCCTCATCAACAGAGAGAAACCTCTAGAACCAGACTCAATGTGGGCGGTCATCTGCCTCGACCGGTTGAGCAGAGCAAAATGGCGAGGAGAGGAAAGATGGGTGGAAAAGAGGGGAGAGAGAGATAGTGGGAGATTATATGGACAACATACAGCATCACTCAGCAGCTGCTGTACATATATTCTCATTGTGGCTTGTTTGATATGTGCACTAAAGAGTGAGGCCTCAGGAAGAGGTCTTTTTTAAGCTGAATGTTTTGCTTCACTGGAGACAGATGTTTCTGTTAGAGACTAAATGAAAATATAAGAGAATTGATCAGGGGTTTGCGTATGTCGACATAGAAACATGTTTCTAGTTGAGGGTTTTGTGTACCAAAGATGTTTTATAGCTTAGAAACACATGACAGTAGCCTAATCAAAAATCTCATTTGAAATGACTCAGGTTGTTTTGCTCTAATGAGCCTCCGCTGCTTATTTTTGGAAATGACCTGAGACATTTGCGATACTGACAGTCGACTCTGATCTTGTGTTCGCTTCGGGGAAGATGATGATACACGAGCGAGCTGTTCCGTCTGTCTGCAGTCTTACACACAGGTCACTGGAACCACTGAATTCAGACATTACATAAATGCAGAATTTGATGGGTTATTCTGGGACACTCGCTGCCCTGAGAGCGTTTTGTATTCTTCTGACATCACTGCATGCTCTGTTCCAGCCCCCGCAAGAATAACAAGGTTGAATAATCAGGCTGAAGTCGCGTCTATCTCAAACAAACAGCGAGGAAGGCTGGAGAAACGTTTCTTCCAATGTAAAAAATGTAACAGCACTGACCTCATCAGTGGAACTATATTAAAAGCCTCATCTGAATGAGTGTGTACATTCATTCATTGAACACATTTTCAGGAATTGAGTTGCATTCTGGGTAATGTAAGCACCAGGTTTTGCCAATGGAGATTGACGCATATAATAAAAGACATTATGTCTTAATGCATTTATTTTTTATCAGTTTTTTTAAATGACCAGCTTGAGTCTGATAGACTTTGCTTTGTTTGTACAAATGGTATAATGATGGTGTAAACCTTCACTGTCTTTCTTATTAAATCAGACTCTAACAGGATAAAGTTGTGCTTTTGTTGGTATTGTTTGGTGTTCTAGTGAATAGTTCTATGAGCAAGGTGGCTTGAGTCCATATAAATACAGTGTGTGTGAAGTTATATCAGACTTTGGACACTCGTCTATATTAGATATAAACACACACACACACACACACACAGTCTGACTTTCCTAATCTAATATGTCAAGTAAGTTAATAGTATTTATGCTAAAACTCACAGGATCATTACTGAACATGCAACAACATTTAAAACATGTCACAAGCATCATGTTCCACCAGGGCTGGGACGACAGACTCCTGATACGAGGTCTGTCTGCTTGTTGACTCAATGTGAATGAACATAAGGTGATGGATGGCCCTCAAGATGGAAGTGAATCAATCAGCTGTCTTTTTCTGCAAATTTTCTATAATGACTCAAAAGAATGAAAAGTATGAACATACACGCTTCAGTAGTTTTCACTGGGGGATGAGATTGCCTCCTGGTTGGTGCTGTCAGGGGAGTTGCAGGAGGTGAAGTGTGACTCAGTGGAGTTTACAGCCTGTGAAATGGCCTTTAGCTTAGAGTGCATGAATCTGCAGAGCTGAGGGAGTCCAGGGAATTAATGCAGATCTCTCCTCCTCCATATTCAAAGGACAGGCAAATAAAATGAGCCTCACCTTCCTCCCTCTCCACGGGAGTCTTGAGTCTGTAGAGAAGCAGGGGGCTGAGGTGAGGGGTGGGTGCGTTGCTGGATGGAAAGCTCCAGTCTCTCTGGTGTTGTTGTTGGGGTTGAAGTGAACAGCCTCTTTACACGTAGGAGTAGCACTGGTGTTTGGGGTACCAGGCTCTATCAATGGTTTCGGTATCACTGGATGAACGATCCAGGTCAACCTCCCAAAGAACAGTTCCAGGTTCCGGGCTGTGGTACTCATATATTAACATACTGTATCATCTATGGATCCTAAAATACAGGAAAGAAGGATGAGCCAGGAGGGGGGGGGGGGTTGTTGATGTATTCTCCACAACTATATAATTTATATAACAATTTATGGAAACTGCAATTGACGTTTTACTTTCCTTCAGTAATCAACTCTACTGTGTATTTTCTGTGATTATACACAACTTTCCCATGTTTATAAAATAAAATACCAACATAGAAAATGTACATCATAGTACAAAGAATTAAACCCCAAGATAACACATTCTTTCACCGTTATTTTCAATTATCTGTAGAACACACTTTAAAACACTGTGTACACTTTATGGCCTTTTCCTCTGAATGTGTAAAACTGAAACGCTGCTGTTCCATCAAAGGGTCTTAAAGGTACAGTGTGTAGAATTTTGTGATATCTAATGTTGAAAGTTCATGTTGCAGCTGAACCCCCCTCACCTCACCCTCTCCTTCCAAACATGAAAAAGAACCTGTGGTAGCTTCAGTTGTTATAAAAACTCAAAAGGTGTTTAGTTTGTTCAGTCTGGACTAATGTAAAAACATGGCAGCCTCCGTAGAGAGGGTCCCCTCAATGTAAATATAAAGTATTTAAATATAAAGGACCTTTTCTGGGGTAAAGAAAACTACAATTCATATAATTTAGATGAAATGAACTAGTGAAAACATCATGAGGATTATTCTACATTCAATTTCTGCCAATAGTTCCCTTTCACCTAAATCTTACACACTGGACCTTTAAGACAGATATCTCAAATTATATATATATTATATCTGCTTGATAAATGCGAACCCACATGTGCGATGAAGCCCCACGAATCTTTGACATTTAACAGAACCTCACTCATACACATACACATGTTCCTACATCTTAATGGAACACTCATTGGCAAAATGCATCCCTTAGCCCCTTACCCTAACTAAACCATCACAACTAAACGCCTAACCCTAAGCCGTACCCTAACCCTGATCTGAAAATAGTTCTAACCCTAACCATTAAACCGAGTCCAAAATGTCCTCACTTTCCCAAAATGTCACCCGAGCGTCAGCTGAGCTATATTTGTGTGTGCATGGCTCTAAGTAGCAGTGGTCCAGTAAGTGAGGCATTGACAGACCCATCTGTTAGAGCCAACATGGCCTCAGCTGCACCCACACACCAAGGGACCACACAGGCCTTATGGGAACGTGCACACATCCACAAGGCCTGATATAATATGTGCATGTATAATATTTTGAATTCGAGTGTTTGAGCAACAGAAGTCTCTTGCACTCCTGAATGATCTCGGTGACAAACACAGACATAGAAGAAGAAGTTCCTTTTTGCTCGGGACAACATATATCTCGAGGCATTATAGCGTTGAGCATCACAGGGAACAGCTGGCCTGTGTGACCTTGTGTGAGTGATATACTCGAATTACTTCCTCTTCCACATTGGACTGTGACGATTAGCTGGAGGAGCTGAGACGTTTGCTACAGAAGTCATCAATGATTCATGGTTACATTTTATATTCACTGACTTCAATGGCAAACAAGTGTGTTTGTGTGGAGACCTGTGTGCAGTGGCAACAACAGCTGTACCTACTTGTTTGCCCAACATAAGCATTTTGTGTCCTCGGGTCTTTCTCTCCTTCTGTGTCTCCTACACAAACTTTAATGCCACTCAGTCGAACACATACCTCCACCATAAGAGATGCAGAGGTTATCTACTGGACCCATTCCTGAGTTTTTCTTAGTACCATTCATTTACACACACATATATATAAACACAAGGTCCATATCCATCTTATATTAGTTCACATGTTGTTTCAGGGTCTTGAATGAATACAGCAACAACTAACACATGGTGTCACCACAGAGTCAACAACTGAATCTGCACCTCAGTACAGTGCAGCCCGCTGTTTCTGAGGGATTTGGCAGAAAGTGGAAATACCTGAACACTGACAACTCAGGATGAAATGTGTTTTCTCCTCCGCTTCTCCTCTTTCCTCTCATTTCCATCTAGTTCACTTCACCCTCTGCCTGGTCCACTGTCTGATTACTCCTCTATTTCCTCTCCTAACCTTCCTTTGCCTCCTGTTTCCACTGCCCTCACTTTCAACCATCCTTTGTTCTACAACTAAACCTTATCCCTGTATTGATTTTCTTCCTTTGTTGGAACTCAACCCTGTCACTCTGACCCAATGCTCCACACCTCATCACACACGCTCTCACAAAAACCCAAATACTGTGACTCTGCTCTGTACCACATCCATCATGTCACTGTACTCAAACACTTATCAATCTTTCAAATCCCTGCTACATCCACTCTTTCTCTTTCTGCTGTCTCCGTCCGTCCAGCTGTTTGTCTGGTGCTCGGCTGTGTGATCTTCCCGAACGGCTGGGACGCAGAAGTGATCCGGGACATGTGTGGAGAGGACACGGGAAGGTATACTCTGGGCAATTGTTCGGTGCGCTGGGCCTACATCCTCGCCATCATCGGCATCCTGGACGCCCTCGTCCTCTCCTTCCTGGCCTTTGTGCTGGGGAACCGTCAGAGTGATTTCCTGCAGGAGGAGCTGAAGGCTGACAGCAGAGGTGAGAGGTGACAAATCAACAGTCACAAGTAGTTTTAGTCAAAAACACACCTTAGAAAGGCAAAGATAATAAAGGACATTTAAATCAATGCCGGTCTTAGAAGTGTAATTTCAACCCTTGAAAGTGTCTCTCCCTGGAAATTCAAAAAAATGCCTTGAGAACCACAGACTATATATAAAGAGAGAACACTAGCTGAGTGTGGCTGTCCACATTCCCACTCACAAGTGATCACTGGTGGCGTAGAGACACAAGGAACAGTTGACTCTACATGACCAATAGGCCAGGTCCAAGATGGTTAGTTCAACCCATAAATGTATTTCATCAAAGAAAATGACCACCATTAAGTTTAGAGCTCAGAAAACACAGTTTGCAGCTCAACTGGATCAGAGTAAAAGATGGACTAGTTGTATTCACTCACATCACAGCTATTCTCCTCTGATGCCAGCCTCAGGCTGGGAAGCTCAAATGTTCTTATCAAAAGAACAGTGTTGCAAAGCTGTAAACCAGGTCACGTGAACAGGAGGAATCTGACGGTGTCACTGCCTCTTGACTGATGAGCAACTGAAAACAATGGTTTGTGCAACTTTGTTGAAAAACAGTCAAATGGAGTGAAAGAAAGAAATCTTCACTTTCCTTTGTTGTGCTGAATCCCTGTAACTCCTGAACCTAAGACTGTGTTAAATGTATGGGCCCTGTCGCCTTTGTTTAGATCCAAATAAAAGAATATGATTCATTTTTCCCATTTTGTCTTCTCCACAGACTTTGCTGTATCAAGGGTAAGTACATTTTGTTATGCTTGTGTGTGTGCGTGCATGCGTGCGTGTGTGTGTTATGTCATTCAGTGTAGTAATACATTAAATGGAGCGAACCCTGCGAGCTAGTTGAGGCAGCCCACTGGAGCTGCTCTGCCTCAATCATGACACATTCACCACGTGACATACCTCACTCTCCACAATCATCTATCACTCACGCCCACCTGATTAGTCGGTCTATTTAGGCTGAGAACATTTCCCATCACTCCCTTTGCTTGCCCCACTGCTGCGTCAGTGTTGCTGCCAGTTGCTTCAGCCCCTCCACCACCCCAGCATCCACCTGTAAGCTCCGGTGGGGGGTTATAAATATTTGCTCATCACTCCCATCATATCTATGTAATCATATCGGGGGGGAGAGATTAAGTCGGAGCCTAGATTCCAAACACTAACCTGTTCTGGTGCTGCAATACACATTTGAACGTGACTGAACTCATTACATCTATAAATATCATTGTGATTATTTTCATTACAACAACCAGAGCTTAAATATAGCGGTTACACAACTGCTCCTGCGGCGTCTGTTCTGCTGCACGATTTGAGCCAAACAGAGCAGGAGGGAGGAGGTCACAGGTTCACAGGTAATGAAGATGCTTTATGAAAACAGAGGCTGGAACATAGGAGGAGTTCCAGTGTCTTCTGGAGCATGTGGCACAAACGACTCCCTCACACTGCTGTGGTGTTTGGAACTTAGCACTTTGAACATTTTTATTAAAAATGTGTCATGGTGACACGAAAACATTTTGTGTTTGCAGTCCAAGAAGTTGCAGTTTCAGCCAAACTGACGCTGCATCTCCTCTCTCTTTCTCTCTCTCTCTCTCCTCCTCCTCCTTCAGATTATAATCCGGGACCCCCGGGATGCAAGATTTGGAATCCAGCGCTTCCACTGAGTCACATTTCCTCTCCTGCTCTTTCAGCTCCCTCTCTCCTAACCCTCCCTCCCTCTGTCCTGCTCCTCCTCCTTTCTCCTCAGGATAAAAACTTCTGGGCTTTGAGACCAGTGGTTTGTAAAATTGGTCTGAAAAGAAATATTCAAACATCGAGGAAACATGACGAGTCTGTGATACTGGAGTCAGGAGGTGATCATTTGTAAAATGAGCTGTTACTGACAATGAAGATTAGCGTGTTGCTAATAATGATAATAATGCATGCAGGAGGAGTATTTGATTTATTGTATTTTAATGAGAGGAAATGAGCTTTTTCCAGTTTTTCAAAGTCACATAAATATGTTGTGTAACCACAGGTGCTACTTCTGACCGAAAAAACAAACCACTGAAAAGATGATTTTGTACAGTTACTTTGTGCTTTTCCGCTTCTCTTTGTATTTGACGATGTCTGATCCCGGGAACAACCAACATTTAACATGTATGTGAACGAGATGTTTCTATGGAAACAGACACATTTTAAGCACTTTTGACCCTATACATGAAAAAGCCATGTAAGCTGTGAAATTCTGAAACTTCTTGTTTTACTGTCCTGTCGTCTGTCTTTGTGATGGTTCCTCTCTTCGCTATTCTTCTGTTTTCATTTTTATAGTTGCTTATGTGATTTTGCATTCTATATTTATTATTATCATATTATTGTTAGTTTATTATAACTGTTTTCATTATACCATTGGTCTGGTAGTTTAGTTTAGGATGCTGGAGTGGCTGAGGTGAACATGGATGAATGTTACAGGCAGGGTTACGACAGAGAGGCATCTGGAAGGGCTAATTTTTTTTTTTAACCAGGGCAAGAGACACATTGTTCATCATTTCAACTGTTGGCTTTCCACAATGGTACAATAGACCTCACCAGAACACAATGCTCAACTGGACATTGGACTCCCAGGTGCCTCATTGGCTTCAGTTTGAATCTGAGTTTTTGGGGATTTGGAGTTTGAGTTTAACTCTTCCTCTTTTGAGGACAAACAGCCTCCACAGTCCAGACTACACTGACAGAGAGATGTCTTCCATGTCCCAACTGTTTACGTCTCACTGCTTTCTGTCTTTCCTCTTTGTTTATTGAAGTTTGTCTCTTGCCTCTTAAGTTGTGTCGACTTGTTCTCCAGTGGACTGGGTTTTGTTCATATGTTCCTCCAGCAGGACGAGCCCTGCGTGCTGCATCTCTCTCAGGCTTGTGAAAACGAGGCTTCCTCTCTACGCCCAGCGGGACTCACAGTCAGTTCAGTCCGTCAGTCCACAACTCAGATCTGAGCGACGGACCCAGCAGACTTTCATCACGACTACACACACCATGCGCTGTGCTGCTGCTCTGCTGGGATTCTCACAGGACGCTTCTCTGACAAGAGATGAGTGTTTGAAAATCCTTACATCTGAACCTGACCTAGATGTGATCTATTCAGAATGAGCTCTGAAAAACACACTTGGGGAATAAAAAGCAGTTTAAGTACAGTCCGACAGCGAGTCAGCAGCTGCGAGTCAGACAGAAGGCCGCAGTAATCCCCACTCCCAAACTCTCAGTACAACAGAACTAACCAGCGCCACCTACTGTGCACCCCTGGTTTGGAGCCAGAACCTTACCTCGACCTGTTCTTTGTGTTTGGACACCCACAGAACTGCGTCTCCACCAGAACTACTGGTTCAAGTGAGGCAGCAGCTCTACAAGAAAGAACTGCATGTGTCAGAGGCTGGGGGCGGGATTAATGTGACCTACAAGACCTGTTGTGACCTCTAATTTTAAAAATCAGTGAGCTCCAACAACAAACTGTCTGCAGAGAAATAACAACGGATGCCAAAGTAGTCGTCCGAGACGAGACAAATCGTCGGATGCTGGGAGCGTTAAATTGTTGCAACAAACCTGGTAGCTGTGTCTGCATTCTGATATTTTACCAAGCAATATTTTTTTGTTCAGTCTAGAGAAAAAAGTGTTTCAGCTCCATTCACAAAATAATATGTTTTGACAATAAGGATGTAGCTGTGCTTTCAAACCAGGTCTGATTTTGTGCTAGAACTACACGGTCCACTGGAATCTGGGGCAGAATAATTTTTTTGTACATTTTCATGGATGATTTATTGCATTTTTTTTCCTTTTCCTGAACGTTACACTGTGTCAGCTGTGTCTCTCCTGGTTGGTGGGATCCTTCGTGCAAACAGTGACATTTGAGTTTCATCAGTCATAGTTTATCCCTCTGGATGAATGAATGAATGAATGAACGGATGAGAGAACAATTGATTGAACAAATGAATGAATGGAGCTCACTCACCTCCATAAAAACTAATACTTTCCTCCTTAATTTATCCGGTGTCATTAAATTTTGTCAAATCAAGATGTGGAAACTGTAGTTTAACATATATTTCACCTCCTCTCAGTCTCTTTTTCTACATTTTCTTATTATGGGATGCTGTGATGTGAAAAAAGTCATGTTTGTGTACGGTTGTCATAGCAGCCGCTTCCCTGTTTTATCAATGTTGTTTTAAAATGAATAAACTCATTGACTATTAAATATTTCATTTTCAGCTTCGAACTTTCTCAGGTCGCCACAAACACCCACGAACTGGGGAGTCAGTGTGAGTCAAAGCTTTATCATGAGGAGCGGATAAAATCAGCAGAATGAATCTACGTTCAGTGTCAGAGTCATTTCTAACAGTGCTGATAGATTCTGTGGGTCTGATGGGAACAATAAATTACAACAAACTAAACCTTAAGTATGAATGACAAATGTAAAGATTTTATTGTCTATTGTATTTATTGCATGATCTTTTTGCTACATTTTGTTTTTGCATGTGTTGAGTCTTTTTGAGCTCAAGACTTTAGACAGAAATCTGACGCCACAGCTGACCTTTAAAGGTTAATCCAAACTGGTGTCTTTGTTGAAGAAGACTGAAAAATCGGACTGCTCATTTGAAGGCCGATGTATTATCAGGTGTAACCCCTTTATCTCTGAGCTGCACACACACATCGGCCCCCTCCTCTCCTCTGACTGGCTTCACCAGAGGGGCCCTGCTCTCTGGGACCACTCATGGATATTAAATATGGAGAGTGGTGCTTACTTAAACAACAACTAAGAACCAGACAGTAGGATTTATCTAAACACTGACATTTTTACATGGGCTAGAGTGTTCTCTGGACTTCAGGGTTTGATTTCTGTCCTGAGATAATAGTGGGACCTGCTTGTGTCCAGTTGGTTCAGTTTGACACCTCAGAGCTGTGCTGGGGCCTCACACCTGCAGCCCTCTGTGTGTGAGACAATGTCCCCCACCATCACACCTGTAGGTGCACTCGACACTGACTGAAGACTTCGCCACCTGCTCTCTGGATCTCATTCACACATGTGACAGGGAGATCAGGCTCAGCTGGTCTCACTCTGATAGAAACTCTGGCACAGAGTCATGTTTGATCTGAGTGTGAAAATGAAATGCTTCTTGTCTCTGTATGTAGAAGAACTGAACATATGACCTGAGTGATCTTCGTGAGGAAAACAGACTCACAGCCTCTCGTTTCCTGGGTGTGACGCTGATTTGTATGATTATGAATTTTAAAGGCAGCACGAGAATATAGACCAGCAGCAGAACATCCGTAACTCAGACAGAGAACAATCTCAGCTACAGTGAATCTGTCTGAGTGATGCAGTCACGTCTCATCATTCACACAATACTTCCCCCTTGTGGACACCATTGGTATTTGTTACTAAAACAGAAGAATGTCTTAAAAACTCATGGAGGTTATGTCTTCATTGCGTCTGCCTGCTCAAAGGATTATGCAAAAAAAAAAGAAGAAGCTTCTGAACCAAGTTTACTGGCACATAGTAGAAGGGTGGGGTAAGATCCAAGGAACAACTCATTAGGTTTTTGGAGGGGATCTGATTCAAGGGGCGTTTCCAGAATTCTTTTCTCTTTCTTGAACATTGTGAAATGGGGAGTTAGCTTTGGTGGGGTTATGCCTTCCAATCTAAAAGTGTCAAAAAACAGAAATGAAGAGCAGTGGTAGCAGCCAGGAATGATCCTGCACAGCATTCAGGATTAGTACAAATAAATACCATGTATATCTCATTGTTATTGCTGATTGACAGCATATTAATGATCTCCCTGTGAGTTTGAGACTGTGACAGCAATTCTAAATAATTGTCAAATTTGATCATTTAATTAGTAAATAAATATACATTTCTGGATGAGGAGCCACAACAACAGTGCCTTGTCTGTTCTGCTGCATCCATTCACTTCACATGTTGCTTTTTGTATCCATGGCCTGAGACACACATTCTACTTTGCACCAAATTACAATGAAATTCAAAAATGAAGTTATTTTTTTAAATCCTAAAAACAGGATGGAAGGGGGGAAATTAATGAGCCAGGTCATAAAACATCAGGGGGCGTTCATGTATCCTCATTTGATGATTGCCGTCGTCCTAAAATAAACCATGTCACATAAGTGGAACTACAACCACACCGGTCACACTGCAGTGTTTTCCTGATACAAAGAAAAACATGAATGCCATTCTATCATCTTACCACCTGATCTGAAGCAACTTGTGCAAATACATGCAAGCAACTGCCTTAAAAGACACATCACAATGGTAGTTTTCAAAATACATTACCATCATGATTATTTTATTATCAAAAAGGCATTACATCTCTTGCTTTTTAAATCTTTTGGAGGGGACAATTGAAATAGTTACTACTATGATCTGTGTAAAAAATAAAACAAAACCAACAGAATGATCTTTACAAAAAACAGAGAGAATGCAGAGTCTGGTTTTTGGAGGAACCCAGGAAAAGATCCAATGATTAGCTTCCAACCATCCGACAAAAGTTGGTCACTCGGACCCTAAAAACAAATATCATGCGATAAATTCAGTGTACTACATTTTCTCCATACAAGTCTATATCACATTTCTTTCTATACAAGTAAACACAATCATACATATTGTCCTATTTTGTCTTAGGGTGGATCTCTTTCATTTTAAGGTGCTGGTTAATTTTGGGTCACAACTTTTTTTTTTTGAATCTGTCAAACATTCATGTAACATGAGTACCCATCTGTGTGATGGTGGAGGAGGGGGCTGCTGTCGTGGCAGGTGGGGCCCAGTCACATGACTGGACCCTCGGTCCTTTGTAGTCTTCCACACAAATGCAGTGGTTTTCCACATCCGCACCAACAACAAAGTCTGGGAGGAAAGAGCGACTCCGGCTGTCGGCCTGACATCGCTCTGAGGTTCCCCTGCAGGGACCAGGAGTACCATCGCTTGAATTAAAGTCAGAAATAAAATTACAGCATTCTGTGGAAAGGGAAGCAGCTATCACAGGAGAACACAGCAGCTTTTTTTAAACCTAGGTTTTATAAACAATCCAAACACTCCCTCAAAGATTCCTTTGCCCAGTTTTCCTCTGTGTCAAACGGAATGCAATGGATTGGTCAGAAAAAAATACATATATATATTTATTTTAAAAACTCCTGTAGGATAAAAAACTAACATTTTAACTTAGAAATAAAGTTGGATTATCTACCCCTTATTTTGTTCCTGCATTCCATCACTACGACATACGATAAGTATGAATTAGGAGAAGAACAAAACGGATCCTAACTGATATGACAAGATGAATGCAGCCAAATGTGGGGAACATAACTGGATTTCAAATTTATTGAAAAAAACAAACAAAAAAAACAATGCAGCACCATGATTCATAAGACCTGTATGTCTTAAGTACAACATCAGAAGTCTACAGTGGAGTTGTCCTAAGATGAATTCAAAACAGTCCAGTGGGGATGAGAGAAAAGAAGATTAAAAAAAACCCAGTGGAACGGACAGAACCGTGAGGAAAAAGGGCTGTGTCATGTTTAGTGAGAGAACATGGAAGCTGGTTATCATATGGAATGACCCTATTAAAGGAAACGCCCCTCCTCCTCCCCATCTCTCGAATGTACCTCGAGAACGGATGATTAACACGATGCCTCTGCTTGTTATATTTCCCCCTTTTCCTAATCAAACACTTTTACTGCAGCACAGACTCATTTATATGCATCATTTATCCAACCTCGGTGCCATGACAACAGGTATGCTTTTTATAACTTTGTACATACATTTGTGAGGAAGTTTTGGCTTTTGACATTAGAGAGCCTGTTTGCACAGTCCGGCACATCAGCGAACACTGGGGACAATTTCAAGTTACAAGTGATTTCTTGTTTTTTTTTCCTCTGTGTTTTATCTAAATTGCTTCTTCCACTGATTCCATAATGATGTCCAAAGTCAATGATTAGCTTTGTGTAGAATGTGGTCATTTGTTTTTTTCGGAAAATAATGAAAGAAAAGACAGAAAATAAGAAAAGGAGAAATCCGTAAAGAAGTCCTTGCTCCTCTTAGGTCTGTACATTTACCCTCCTCACACTCCCTGAGCCCCATTTCACCACAGCTTCAGGGGCTGAGGGGGTACACAGCTTCATACACACTCACGCGCGCACGCACACACACACACACAAACACACTTGAACAAGGTCCTAAAAGCTTCCTGACTGTGTCCTTACTCCGGTTCCCTGGAGGGGGGAGTGCTGGAACTGGCTGAGGCTCGTCCCTCTCTGTGGGTAGTGTGTCGATCCAGAGGCCGACAGCAGCCTGGAGCTGGCCTGCAGCGTCGCCTGGCTCGGGCTGCCCGATTTCAGGTTGCGAGACGCCTGCTGCTGACTCCCTCTGGAGGCCAGGGTGCCCGAGTCTATTTTACTCTGCCCATGGGCCCTGGGTCCTGGGGCGGGGGACCCTGCCGGGCCACTGCTGTTCAAAAGACTCGCTTTTAAGTGGCTGCTGCCATAGCCATGGCCTCTGTCCGGGTTACTGCTGCTACTCTGCTGGTGTAGAGACCCTGCGGGCGGCCGCGAGTCTGAGGATGAGGTGGGGGTGGGGGAGTGACTGGGGTAGGTGGATGGTGTATGGTCCTGGGATATTCCTGGGTGGGAGGGGTGGCGTGCGTAGAAGCTCTGGCCTGATGAGGGACTGTAGGATCCCGGGAATGGAGAGGTGGAGGTCTGCTGGCGGAGCGACGGGCTGTCAGTCTGCCGGTGGCTTTCTGATGACTGAACACAAAGAGACACACACTCAATACTCTGAGGTAATGACACATGTTGAAGATGTAAATTTCATGTCATACAGAGAAGAGGCTAAAGGTGTAAATGATTTCAGTCACAAAATACAGGTGTTTATACAATTAGGTATTTCAGACAATGGCTGATGTGTTTAAGCTATCAAATGTTTTATTTCATGTCTGAATCTGCTACAGAGGCTGAGAATTTTGATTTTTGTGTGAGCTCTAGATCACCCTTTCAGGTGTCAGGGGGTCACTTTCATAGGTCATAGTGTGTGCTTTTATTCTGTGCTTTGGGTCTTAATGGGTTGAAAACTGAAAAAATATTGATCATGAGTGTTGACCTGAAATAATGTGAATATTTGTGTTTTCGAAAAGTGTGTTTTCGAAATGATTTACTTTGTAGACTTCCAGGATGTATGGGGATTTCAGAAAGACTCATCAGATATGGTTTTTGTTAATATTATAGGTGTAAAAATGCATCCAATATGATTTAAATGCATCGTTGGCAAGGCATCATGGGTAACACATCAATTTGAAATCCTGCCGAAACGCACTCAAGATACGTTCATAATACACTGGCCTCATTAATAACAATGTTGAATCAAGTCTTGAACATAAATAGCAAATATCCAAAAATACCCAAACACTGATGGTTGAGGAAAAGGATCACTGCATACAGTGTGTCTACCTGGTGTGAGTACACGGAGGGACTGTATCTGTGGGGACTCTTCATGGGAGAAGCCATGGACGCTGCCTGCATCTCATATCGATCCCCATCTGAAATCACAGAAAAGGTGGATTAACTCCAGCACTGAGAAATATATAATTATATACTTTAATCTTTAATCTAGTTTGACCTTTAGGTTTTTAATCGTCATACCAAACTCCTTCTCTGTCGATCCGTCACTCCTCTTATATATCCGCTCCATCTTAATGCTTCTTAGCACTCGCTCGAGGGCGCCCTGGCCTTCCCTTAGACGTTCAACAGTAGTGGGAACCATCCTTGGATAAGATACAAATCCAAAGGTTATCTGCCGCTCATCTCTGATCACAAACTCATCAGGAACAATGTCAGACAGCTTGACAGGTGAACATCTTAAAATTAGTGAGCCATCACTCTCAGGCCTCTCACCACTGGTTGTTGACCTGGCGCCTGGGCTGCGCTGACGGGCCCTGGTGGTCTGGAGGACTGACCTCCTCTATCTGTGGTATAGGGTTGATGTGTGTTGAGGAAGAGAAGGAGCTGTGCGGGGAGGCTGGAGGCTGCATCTGTTGATGGGAATGGGTGTGGTGGGATTCCTGGCTGTAATGGGAGCCAGGTCGGGTTGGGGTGCCACCCAGGGAGGAGCTGCTGCCAAAGGGCTCTGGGTCTCGACCGCTGCTCTGCTTCCTCTTGCGGTACTCCAGCAAAGACACCTGAGGCAGCAGAGGGAGGATAATGATTAAACAGCTGCTGCTGAAGAACGGACACACACTCTGATATGACTTCATGTCATTCATACAGATGTTGGGCCGCTGACTGAATCACATCATTCACAAAAACTACACTGAGTGATGGGCAGACCGCATGCACCACACCAGAGAGCACTCACCTGGAAAAAGTATTTACCACTATTCGGTATGACAAAAAGAACACCTTTATCACCATGGAAACCATCTCTGACGTGAAAATGATACTGTATGCATTTGGTTCCATTCCATGAACATTCTTGTAGCCATGAGAAAGACTCAGTGTTAATCTCTTTATTTGTTCTGAATTAGTAACATACAGCATCTGAAGCTTTGACAAGAGAGCAGGCAACTTTGAATGCACCACGCCATGATGCAACCACGCTGAAACAACAAAACAAACATTCATGTCAACGTCCACACAAAAATTTCGAGCACACACACAACATTTAAACACACCTCGACTCCTCAACAATGAGAATGAGAGCACTCGTCCCAGCTTAATGTTGTCATGACACAGGAGAGGCTTGTGGGAGGAGAGGGTGCGTACATGAAGGAGGGAAGGGGCAGGATGATGATACTGTCCTTGACATGGATGGCTCATGTCTGAATCTTTGTAAGAGTGTAAGATTACATAGAAAGGAGACTGCAGAAGGTAGTGTAGCAAGGAAATTACCATAAAGCACCAAGTATCAGTGGTCACATTGACATGTCTGCACATAAGTTGTGTCTCAATTTAGAGGCTGTATCATTTGGAGGATGCAGTTTACCTGGCCCACCACGACCACCTCCTCTGTGGGCCATGTAGACCACGGGCAGGACTGAAATGAGACTGTCTGGCCTACCGTGTCTCCGTGATCTGCGTCACCAGCTCGTCCTGCTCTTATAACAAAGCTGAAGTTGGACACGCAGAGAAAGTTTTTAATGCCCCTGGGTTTTGTGACCCTAATCCATCATTTAACCACTCATCCAAGAGGCTTCTTCAGTCTGTAGCCATACTACTACGTTTTCAAACTAAAAACGGTCTCTGTCCACACAAGCATTTTGGTTTCGGATCAGCTCAAATCGCTGTCCATACTAACATGCCTGAAAAAACATATCATGTGACCACTCGCATGCTGGTGAACACAGGAAGCATTCAGTTGTTAATTGCGGAATTGTTGCAGATTGCTCGAACAATAGCTCGTCTCCTACACATGTAATCAGTTGTATCATTGTCAAATACAGAATTTAACTGTACAACAGCTGTTAGCGAGGCAACAGGGTCACAAACGCTTGTAATTGATAATCCATGTAAATGGATGTACATGGATGTAGCAACATGGATAATCAATTGCGTTTTCTTCTGGGGGGGGGTCATGTGATAGGAGGCAGACGAGCGGTTGTGAGTGTCTATCACTGTTTCCAAACGTCTTACTTTCTGCTAATTGAAACTGAAACACAGCCTAAAAGATTTTAATCTAAAATGGGGTCAATAGCGTTACCAAACTTGACGGTTTAAGTGGCTCTCAAACTGCAGAATAGTGTGGATGCCAGGAGCATCCCTAGCAGAGTTGATGCTTTTTAAAATGAAAACATAGTAGTGTGGATGCAGCCTAAGAATCTTCAAAGATATGATTATCTTCAGTTTAATGACATTAAAGTAAAATCACTGATCTCAGCAAGACCTTAAGTGTTAGAACCGCCAGTATAGAAATCTAAGCTAAATTTAATGGGACATTTGATCGGGGTTTAGAAGAGACATGGGACCTTCCCATGGTAGAACTGGATGGTCAGTTTGGAAAGAGCCATGGATGAGATGGAGAAAAGACGCATGAGCTTCATCTTGTCATGAACCACCAGCCTCTTGTCTTGATAGTGATGGATGAACCTTTTACTCACTTCAATGAGTTTGACTGAAATGGCAGAAAAAACCAAAACTCCTGCTCAAAACTATAGAGTCAGAGTTCAATGTAGGTTTGGAGGAGGAGAGGGTGGGGTGGGTTGTTGTATGCAGATGCAAAGAAACAATATTTACATGCACACTTCTAAAGATGTAGTTGTAGGGAGAATATTCACCATATTTTGTACTGGCTTGTATTCACTTCTTACAGCTATAGCCTGGTAATCTGGCTTCCCTGTCAGCAGACTAATGGTATGCTGGTTGGCCCTCTGCCTTGGAAGAAAAGTGGAAGAGAAACTTGGCAGAAAGTGTCAACTAACAGCGAGGGGGGAGGGAAGGGACTGAGGGAGAGGGAAGGGGGAGGGTCAAAGCTACAGAGTGGACATCATTTCAGATATACACAGGAAATGCTTGTATATGTTTCATTTAAATGTCTGATGCTTGTGGATGTGTCCGCCTGACACAAGGGACCAATTGATATATTTAAGACAAAGTCAATGGGCAAACATAGAGCAGGGGGAGAAGCACATCATGATGTTCGGCTTGTCAGTTTGCACATATCACACTCAAAATCATTCCAACTTGAGAGAAAAGATTAAACTCAAGATTTACCCAAAAGCGACCAAATAAAAAACTGTTCACAATCAGAATTAATAGTCGGAGAACTTGCCTTCCTCTTTTGTGGTGGGTTGCTGGTGTGAGGAGGTGTGCCACTGTCTGGGTAGCCTCCCCCATAATGAGGCTCACCGTAGGGTGACAAAGAGCCGGGGCCCATATCTCCCATCAGCCCCTGGCCACTTATGGAACTGTGGAAGGACTCTGCAGGGGAAAAGCCTCCTTCTGACAGGGACTGGCGGCAATCGGGGGCCACAGGGTTTCCCAGGTTTGCATTGAGGGGCGAACAGGTGTATATGAGGTTGAACTCTGTCCTGAAGGCCTGCTCCCTGTTTTGGGGGTTTAGGTCTGAGGGAGGACAGGACACTGGGTTTAGGGAGCTGGTCCCAACACATGATGGACCCTGGGAATCTGGGCCTGAGGCGCATCCAGGAAGAGAAAGGTCATCTGAGGTCATGGCCACAGGGCTCTCTAAACTGGAGGGGAGTGAAAGGTCTGGGAACTGAGGCCGAGGGACTTCAAAGTCTGATTGAAGACATGGCTAAAGGTAGAAAGGGACAGAAGAATGGAAAGACAAAACTAATCAGACAAAATTGGATTAACCAGTCAGCAGTATGCAGTTTATAACAGTTTATATCAGCAGTTAGGAGTTAGTGGCACAGAGCTGGGAACGTACCTCAGGTGAGATGGACTCTGGCCGGTGAACAGGAGACGCCTCAGGGGACGATATGTTCTGGAGAGAAGCAGAGGCTGTTAGAAAACTTCACATTGTCCAACACATGGTGTCAGAAAATATTAATTATATTGGAAAATCCACCCAGGTACATTAACGGTGTGCTGGTGTTGAGGCTAAGGGATGTTATCAAAGTGTTTCTTTAAAAACAAAGATTAATTTGGACACAAGCAGCAGTTTATCCTCAGTGAATAAAAGTGCCCAGATATAATGAGGCTGAATTAACTGACTTGAATCATATTACACATATGTGACTTCATGTTAAAATAACACATGATCTACAGTACATTACTATCTGCCCATCTGTAGAGGTCATGGAAGTTCAGCCACAACCCCAAACAAACCAGGGCAACTGACAGAGACTACACTCACAGCTGAGGATGAGAGAAAAGATTTACATTTAAAGGTTTCATACATGAACAATTACTTATTTAACTGGATCTGTCAGAAGCTTGTCTTAACTGTGTTCGTGTGGGATTTGTGTATGACTGGTGAGGATGGATAGTAGTGGTTGTAGGTCCAAGTGGCTGTGCACTTACTTCGAATTGCAGCGGTGTGTTGCAGCGGCTTGCGGGTAGCGAGGGCATGGGTGAGTAGATCAGGCCATTGGGCAGCAAGGAGCCACAGGGGGTATGGAGCAGCGGGTGGAGGGATTCCTCTGGGAGTGGCGGCGTGATGGGTGACAGTGGGCGAAGCAGGTTGTCTGAGGGTGCTGGTGTCTCTGCCACATACTTGGAGAGGCGCTTTTTAAACGGAGGATTGAGTTCTATGATTTTAAAGACATGAAGAGAGTCAATTAGTTTGGATCTACAGTAGCAAGAAAAAGTAAGTGAACCTGCATGTTTAAATATAGTCAGATCTTCACCAAATTACAATAATGAACAAGAGTCTACTAGAGAATGACTTCACACAAGGAAAAGTTTGTGCTGCAGTGTCTCAATCAGAGCTCAGACATTAACTAAACACAGAAGGCATGGAATGAGCTCAAGAGAAAAATTCACAGCAGAAATTGTGAGAGCGCATCTAAGCTGAATCAGTATCTGTATTAAGAACGTTCTCCTTTCTCCGCAGTGCAGGTCTGATGTACAGGTTGTTGCTGATAAATAAGGTTTTGGGATGTTGTGAATGTTTTGAAGGTTCACATACATTTCCTTGTCACTGTATAGGATCTAAATCTCTTTTTCCACCATTAGTGTATGCAGCAGAAAATAAAGCACCTGGACTGGGTATGTACATACCAGTAGACAGGGGGTTGGGGGTGGATCTGCTACTGGTACTTTGCTGAGAGGAGGTGGACTCTGTGCCATCTTCCATACTGACTGAACAGCTTTCATCCTCCACCTGCTTTATCCATCTCTGTGTCAAAAGATGATTAATGTCTGGTTAAAAATAAAAACTGACAGATTTGTTTAGACTAAATAAGCTTATTTAGGCTTCACATACAAAAATATCTATTCAACTTGATAAAATACCTCAGAAAATCAGTGGGTAACATATTTCATAGTGTGTGCCTGCACGTCTCATTCAATTAAATTTGTACTTAAAACCAAACTACATCACCTCAAAGCACTCTACATAGTAAAGGTGAGAACTTTTTTTTTTTAAATTATATAAAAATCCAACAGTTGTCATGTGTCTTGATGGACAGGTTAAATTCATTTAAAGAACAATTTAAGGAAAAAAGAACAGAATATGATGCTTTGCTGCATCACTTACCTTTTTGTAGCAGCCGTAAGTGCCATCCATTTGGAGTGGGCGGGGCCTGCGTCTCTCTGGGTTAAAGGGGGAGCCGAAGCGGACGTAGTGTCTCGGTGTGGTGCAAATGAGCGATGAGTGGGAGAGACCTGGCAGCATATTGAGGGTGGTGGCCAGCACCGTGGGGTCAGTGGTTATCCTCAGGGGGCGCTCAATGGGCACCTCTTGCTGGATCTTCTCCCCTCCAGGGATCTTGTCATTCAGCCACTCAGTCACAAGGTACTGAAAATACAAAAAGGTGATTGAAAAAGATTGACTTGACCACAGATTAGCCAAAATACTAGTAATAATTGTATGTTGACTAACCTTCTTGGTTTTGGGGTAGCGCAAGTTGCCTCTATTTATACAGTTTAGACCCTGTCCATCTCCATCAAGGAGATGACCCCCTAGACTGCTCTCTCCATGGCCATGTTCACCACCATATGGACCCTGAGATCCCTCCTCATCCAGAGCCGCCCCTTGCTCAGCTGATGACGGCATAGCCGCCGATGCTGCAGCTGCGGCAGCTGCTGCTGCCTGCTGGGCGAGAGCTTGACGCTGCCGCCGGGCCCGCTGCGATGAGCTTGACCGGTAGCGAGAGATACGACTTTTGGGCCGAGGCTTGGTAGGTCGCGCAGGTTTAGAGGGGGCAACTGGGGTAGTGGGGTAGGGTAATGAGGTCTTTTCTTCAATAGATGGCGCTTCCTGTAACAGAATAGGGCAAGAGTAGAGTTTATAAAAAAGAAACATTAATGGAATATTACAGATAAATAAGTAACTACTTGCTCACTGACCATTACATAGGTGGTACGTCGCGTGCTGACCCCAACACCTGTGCTGTGGGGTATTGGCGTGTTCCCTGCAGGGTTTCCTGCCCCATCTTCAGTTTCTACACCCTCCTCCTTTATCTCTGTTCCTCCCACTCTCCTCCGCCTCCTCTCCAGGATGTTTAATGTCTACACGAACAGACAGAGGCACAAGAGATGAGTTACACAGGCAGAGAATTTCCTGAAACATAGTCTTCTGAATGACTCCAGTTCAGATAATACATCAGTCACACTAGACAGCGGTATTAAGGGAAATATTTAAAATGGCGTACTTTTTTACTGGAGATGGTGACCCCATTTTCATCCACCTCTCCATCCTCTCCCTCTTCCACCTTCATCTCATCCATTAGACTCTCCTAATGCACAGTTAGGGAAAACACCAAAGATTAAGTACAAGAAGTATTTGGCAACAATAGGTATATGATTTACATTTGTGTACAATAAGCATGTCTGGTTCCATTAATGTACATTTATAAACTAAAGGCCCAGTTTTACTGTCCATTTGTCAAAAATGTATCTTAAACAAAAGCTACACACACCTCTGCATCACTTGTCCCCTGCAGCTCTCTGGCCTCCTGGTGCTCATCTAGGGTCTGGTTGCTATCGCTGGCAAGGCCACCCTCCATTTCCCTCCTCCGAGCTTTTCTCCGCCGGGTCTCGGCACCAATCAGAGGAGAGGGAGGCAGCAGAGAAGGGGGACTCAAAAAGTTCTCTCTGGGGGTCAGGTTGTGCTTCTGCACCGGGCAATTCTGGTTGCCCTTATGGCAGGCACAATCCACTTTGTAATTACTGGTGGTTTGGGACCAAGATGAGAAAATTAGATGATAGACAATGCCAGATGTGAAACAGTAACCAGACAGATTTCAGGTCAAATAAAAGCTTTACACCTGACACCAACATGATTTGTATTCATATTATCTACTTGATGTTTCTAGAAAGGAATTGCCTACTTGTGATAGGGGATCAGTACTGACCAGCTATTAAACTCATAGTCAAATCCAATGGTGACCTCAGCGTCCTTTGTGATTTGACTGACAGCATAGATGCAGAGATGGATCATACCCTCAGCAATCATATGTCGGACCTGTGGAAGGCAACAGAGGAAAATTTTAGAAGAGAGAGCACCCTGATGATACAATTTCACACTTGAAAAAAAATGTTTGCCTCATTTACTGACATATATTTGAATTTAAGAAAAGCTTAATGACTGACCTCAGCGTTGGGGGTACAGGACCTTCTGATGAAGCGTGCGTCATTTCCAAAGGTCCGTGCATCAACACACATCTCGACATCGTTACATTTTGAGTAAAACAGCACAAAAGGGTAGGGTCTGGAAAAACATAAAGACAATGTTATCAAAAACAGGAACTGTTTTATTAGTCTCAAAATACATGTGAGAAAACAATGGACCTTGAGGAAGTATAAAGCTGTATTTGGACACAAATCCTACACTAATTATAGCCCATTACTCATATACTGTGATGTCTTACTTTTTAAAGAAGTGCCCGTTGACTTCAAACTGTTGTTTGAGCATGACCTTTCCCCGATATTCAATAATGAGCGTGTCTGGTTCCAGGTTCTTGGCTGCTCGGAGGATCTTCCTGTGTTTCTGCACCCGTGTTACCCGCCCTAACTGGAGCTACAAAACACCAATCACAAATCATTATTTGCTAAATGTTGAAAGCATCACAAGATTACTACAGAATAGTAATCAGGGTGTTATTATAGGCTTCTTTTTGCTCAACACATTGCACCTTTTCCAATGCTGCTATTTTACATGCACGAACTGTGACAAAATAAAGTCAATCAATATATTGTTAATGGATGAGGAATGGGGCTAACCTGCATCTGTGAGCCCAGCACTGTGTTGTTACAGGCCAGCTCAGTGCGGTTGATGGTGTCCATGGCATCAACAGAGGTTTGGATCTGTGTGGTGGAGGAAGGCGTTGTGGTACCACTCTCAGTTTTGGAGGTGGTGGTGCTGGCAGAACGATGAAGCTGCATCAGTGTCTGGACATCAGCGCTGTACTGGTTTGCCAGAGCCTCCTCATACTGGTCTGTCCACTGGCGGATCCTGCTTTCCCAGCCCTCCACTGTGTTCTCATCTAGCACGCTGGCCTCTGTTGTAGAGTTCTGGACAGAAGAGCATATTAGGAGAGTTTAGAGGATTAGACAAGGTCAAAATATAGTAGATGTTTAGCATGGTCAATGTATGAAGTTGAGTAGAATACATTCTATAACTACTTTCCAGTGAAAGTCGCTAAACTCTTTTTCTCTTCTAATCTCTGTGTTCAAATACAAAGTATTTTACTAGAGTAAAATTCCCAATAAATCTTCTGATGTCCATGTTTTTATTTTGTAAATGTTCAGGCTGTTGGAACAAGTTTGAAATAGTATCTAAAACAAAAAACCATTATGGAAACATGTTACCCAACAGTCACTGCCAAAATCCTGATTTTGTAATCAAGCTAAAGAAAACTTGATAGTCAGAAACTTGATAAGTTCTATGTCAGCTGCAGTGTCGTCAACTGACCCAGGTAACAGGTTTGAAAAAAAAGTTGCTGGATATTTAGCGGCAAAGGAGCTAATTTAGAAACACTGCCTGCTAACTACTCCCTATGATGTAACAAAAACAGTTTGTGCCAATCAATTTTGAAAGACAAAAGGCCAATGTTTGAACTCCATCCCTCAGTCAGTCACAGACATTTCTAATCTTGGCCTTGCTATTGCGGTGCAGCAAAAAATTGGAATGATGACGCCTGCAGCACTGTGTAATTTAAACATATATGTACATGAGTGGTTAACTCCAATTTTACCTTCATCCTCATGGACTTCCGGGAACCCTCTCTAAAAGCCTGAGAGAAGGAAAATAACCCAAATCAATACACCGACACATTGAGCAGTTACTATTCCACAGTAAAAAACAAAACTGAGGTTTTGTCAATATGAGGAGTTTATAAATACACTGGGCCTCAATCTAATGGATTTTAATCCAATGGATTAGTATGTCTTCATACCTTGACTTTTTTGCCTTTTGGCGTCCCACGAGCCTTTTCCGTGCTCTTCTTCCTCTTTTTGGATTTGCTCCTTTTAACCCGGTTGACAGTGAGTTTGATGCTGGTGGGTGTGTGCTGGGTGGCGGTGTAGGAGATGGTGGACGGCGACACCTCTTCATCACCACTCTCTGTGGCACTACTTTCTCCAGCTACCAGGAAAACACAAGTGTATAGGGCAAGAACATCAATTAGTGATGTGCTTCATGAATCCCAGTTACAAATTGTAAAGTCTCAGATGAACAAAAAATACGAGAAGACAAATACCTGAGATATTTTCTGTCTTCCTGTGTTGGCCCTCTGGTCCTTTCCTCCTGTCGAGTCCTCTGCAACAATGACCACAAAACAAACCAGCACTTAAAAAACTGAAATCATTTAGTCAGCAGTGTTTAAAGTTAAACCTAATAGAAAACAAACAAGATTGAAGGAAACAGCATTTCCCAGTTTCACTTCAATTATTTATCTGCCAAAAAATAAGCTTCCAAATTGTTTTCTCTGTTTGAAGTTTCAACATAGTAGAATCATATATGTAATAAAGGATATCAATGTTGAACTACAGATCGATAGATCTTAAAGTTTTGCAACACTTTTCAATGGCTTGCAGCTCGCCTAGTTGTGATCCATGATCACAATGCCAGTGTTAGTAGAGTTATTTTATCATGGACGTAATTTTTTTTTGGAAACAGGTTATCGGGAGTAGCTTGTAGCAGATCCCACAGTAGGGGAACCTTGGGAACCTCAGGTTGGGGCTTCTTACCTGCAGTTGTCACATTTGATGAGCAGGCCATCCGGCGTCAGGCTGCAGTGACACCAGCTGTCCACGGCCCCGTCCTCCTCTGAGGAGCTGTCGCTGTCCGCTGAGTTGTCCTCTGTAGTTTCATGATAGCGAGAGCCGAGGACCACGCCGTTGAGATCCATGCGGGGGATGATGGTTTGGGAAAGCGGGGAGGCGGGTGGGGTAGGGGGTGGGGGTGCGCCATAGTTGTGATCCTGACAACACACAACGGAAGACTGTTGCATCTTCAAACAACGGGTGTTCAGGCAAAAAGGGAAACGGAAAATGGAGACGAATGAAAATGGGGGCAAAACAGGTATGTGAAACAGTACAGCTGTTAATAACAGAAGTAGTCTGTGGTTACAGAAGACTAACAGCAGGACAGACATTCTTGGATTCAATCAAACTAGAACCAATCCTTAGTTTTACTCTTATAGTTCTATTCATAGAACAAGGAACTTGAAAAGATTAGAAAAAGGAAATTGTTGGATAGATTAGACTGAGTTATTATTTTAGCTTTCAACATGTTCATAGCTGTAGCAAACTTAAAATTTATTAATAGAGATCAATACTTATTTTGTTCGAAAAAACATGCTATGATTAGATTTGGTGATTAGAAAAGAGCGGTATTAACTCACAGCATATGGTAGTCCCCGATACCCATGACTCTGTGCACTCCCACAGCTGTGGTTGTTGAAGCTTTTCTCATTCACGGCAGGGCTTGCTTCAACTGACTCAGGGCTGGAAAATTTTGAAAATTATTTCTTTAAAGAATAAAGATATAAACAAGAGCTTTATGTTGTTGTTTTTTTTTGTAAAAAGCAGATATTTTCCACAGCTATTAAATATCCAACTCTTTTAACAACTGTGTCAATCAGACACTAGATGGCACCAAGATGCTGAAGTTTCTCTCCAGTCTGGGAAAGCCGCAATTTAAGAAATACAATGTGGGCCGCCATTACATTATGCAACTCCCTCTGCCCTTTAGCTCAGGTCTGGCCAGACACAGAGTAACCTTGCCTTTTCCCTCTGGTCCTCCAAAACTGGAGCAGACTTAAATGTCAGAGGAATCAAACTGAAAAATGTTAGATTTTCAACACAGGATTTTGTTTATCTCAGCAGAGACTGTTTTTTCCCCCTTGTGTTAGAATCAGTCCCCCTGGCTGAGGTGCAGAGGAAACTGGGGCTATGATCAGGGGTGGATGGAGAGAGGCCAACTGGATTGCACATAACTTGCACCTCATAAGCAGGGTCACCTACAGAGGTGGCATGTGTTCTTATTGAGGTTATCTATGGACATTTCCTCTGACACTGCTCCATACAGCCTGGGCCTGATGTCGAGGGATGATACCAGTCTACCTCTCTGACACACAGCCGGGGCAGGATGATACAAATAAACAATTACTGGAATCATAATTAGGCACCTGAGGGTGGCCTGTCCCTCTGGACAAAATGTGCAAGTGATTACATGATAACTGAAACCTTCACTGGTATTAGAAAACAGAAATTGCTGTTTCATTCTGTTTGGCACAAAATGTACTGAAATACTGCACCCAGTGAGATTATCCAACCTATCACATAACAGATGGTGATCATTTCAAATCAAGTTACAACAGCCTATGCAAGCTAACCTGTAAAACAAATTTAAACAAGAGTGACAGAAGGCCACTTTCCCAATCTTGAATTTTTGCTTTGTTGGGAATTGAGGGAGAGAACAAAATGTTGGTTGTGGTGCTTTTGTTGATTGTCCAGCCCTATACAGGGTTCAGGTTATGGCTTCGCTTACAGTTTGTTTTGAGTTCATGTGTACCCAGCCAGACTGAAGCATCACATTTATATTTGGGTCTGATAACTACATAGAGAACACAGAAAACTGCTGACAGGATAGTGAAAGTAAGGAAGCATATTTATCACAACACAACTTGCTGCAGTTCTGTTACACTGGACAGAAGAGTTATTTTACTGTATTAACGGTATATTGATAGGATCATACTAATACTACAGGGAATTACTACTTAAGCTTTTTTGATTAACTGGGAATCTGTGAGACTTCCAGGTTACTGAAATCAAACCTGTAATTACACAGGAAAGCAAAATGTGCTAAATTGACTTCCATTTTTTCAGCCATTGCTGATTTTGGTCTCTTGATTATGACAATGTTGTTTTCCATCCACCTAATTACAACTCTGTTATAACACTGTTGGTGAATATTAAAACAAAAAAAATCTTTAGATCAAAGGTAAATGCTCAGATGATTGGGTTAGTAACTAAATGTCTGTGAGTTTGTGCACGCGCACTGCAGAGGCTCGCACCTCTATGCGCTTTCCCAAGGGGCACTTGACGACATCAGTGATACTCAGCAGTAACTGCAGCCATGCTACTGGGACTAGCGATGCTACTGCATACGCCACTCGGGTGAAAGCTTGTGTGTAGTGTGTGTGGTGTGTGCGTGGCTCCAGAAGAGGATATCAGAGGTCATTTAGGCTAAAAACATGGTGTAAATTACGCAGTTTCAAGTCAAATTTGAATGTCAGGGCTTATGGACACTTGGATGACACCACAGGAACAGTATAGAGGCAGTTTGTTTTTTTCTGTTGTTTTTTATTATTTGGAGATATGGTTACCAGTTTCAATTTTAATTGTATAGAATTTTGCTGCAAAGCTGTTTACCCCAAAAGTGTTTAGTGGACTTAAGCTTCTCCATTGACCCACTAGAAAATTAACCCACTAGAAAAGTCCATCACTCATTCAACAAAATTATTTATAAAACTACTTTAAGTAACCTAACTCAATGTCTGTCTACCAGCTTTTTCAAGACATTTCAACCAAGTGTCAAATTTTTATTTTTCTGTGAACTATTCCTTTAAACATTTTAACACTGTCGCACATATTGAATATATTAATCAGTGCAGGCATAGCAGCTCTGGGAAAGCCCGTCTAGTTTACAACCTGTAACACATGCTTCATTTTAGGAATCTTACTGCAACCACAGACGTCAGCATGTAAACTTTTGTAAAAGGTAGAACTTATTGGGCAAAGGCAACTTGTGTTGTAAATAAACTGAATCTTTCTTCAAGTCTAGAGTCCCACCTTGCAGGTAATGAGTACTTACTCGGATCCAGCAGCCATATCTGAGTAAGACGTTTCAGGTGTGGTGACTCCCAGCGCAATTACTATGCTCATGACGTCCAGCACAGCGGCGCGTGGGAGGGGGGGAAGAGGGGGAGGAAGGGCGGGATGGGGAGGGGAGGGACAGGATGGGACAGGGGGAGTTGGAGAGGTGGGGAGAGGAATCACAAGGTCCCAGCTATAGCAGCAGACCACTCCAGAGGTGGGGCGCCACTGAGCCGCAGCCCACGGCTCACGGTCATGGGGGACCTGAGGAGAGAGGTGAAGGAGGGAGAGACCATGAATTCTACACACATACGCAGCATGGACAAAAACAAACCACTTGATAGATCGCTGCTTGATCTCCCCTACCAGTATTTCACAAAGGGGAAACTGTAATAAATTAGGCATATGGTGCTATAAAGTGTTCATATTATGATTTGGTTTTTTTTCCCTTTTGAGGGTCAAAGCTTTATTTTGACATGAAATAGCTCCGCTAAGTTACAAAGGCCATAGCCTGCAGCAAAGAGAGTCCTGGCTTTTTAAAGCGTTTACATTAAATTAACATATAACCTGCCTGACGAATACTTAGGGCAGGACATATGATATTGTTACAGCTGATAACGTTTACAGGTCATCATGAAGCCTCTGGGTAAGGGGTGTGACATTTCCAACATTCATTCAACACAGCTGACCCATCACAAAATAGTGTGATTGGTCAAACAATGTTTTAGAAACTGCAGCATATCTAAATTTAACTGGTCATGGTAGGAAGAGTGTAGCGCCAGTAAGGGTCAGTACATTCGGTGCTATACCTGTTCCTTAAATGCAAGGACATGTCAAAATGTCCGCCATGATTAGAAAACTACTCACTATCCTCTTCTGTTGGCCCAAAGCTGAATGTCTGGCTGTAGCGCTGGTTCCAGTCTAACTCTGTTTTCTTTATGACGATTACTGCAGCACTGCGTTGTCATTAAAACAGCTGTGCAAATCAATGATCACCAACGTCATCATCAAGCAAATATTTAACTACATCCATAAACAATATAATTTTTACCCAAAACCCTCCATCAGAAAGTTATCAGTTAGAAACGACGCAGTTACTTACTGGTAACTGACTGAGTTCTCTACTGTAACAGAAAATGAGAGTCTGTTGGAATACAACTGGAACGGAAGCACATGGTCACATATCCACAGGGCTCCTGTAGCAAAGGTCATTGACACTGACAATGACCACATCGCCCTAACACCACAAGGAAACTACCCTTGCACACCAAAGGAGGGTGGCAATGTGCTGACTCATGTTGACAATGTGGGAAGCAGCAGAGCTTTGATTTCCCTGCAACGAAAGTGATAACTCAATATGAACACTAAACGTTAGGCCTGTCTCTCATCCACAGAGGCTTCCAGAACGGAGGGGAGGGGAGGCTATTCAAAAAGAGGAAAAACAACCAGGGTCTTTACAGCTCTGCTTTCACTCCCATTGGATGCACCATCATATACAACCAGCAGGAGGCGCTTTCCTCCCAGACACCAGGAGGGGTGAGTCATCCAACATGAGGCCCAGCCCTCTTGTCATGTGACCACCTAATGCTGGAACACTGACCCACACTCCTCTGCTCTGCCTTCACTCAGCCACTCAGGCAGACAGAGAGAAACAGCAGCCACAAGGCTGCAGAAAGAGGAACGGGCCCTCCTGCACTCCATTCACACACTTGGGAGAGGATTTGGCCAGCAGCAAGGTCATCACCCTAGCAAACACATGCAAATATCCTACTTCACAAACACCAGTCTGATGAGATTCACCTTAATACAAGTCCATAAAAGCTAAGCCTCACTTGTACAATCAAATCTGAATCCTAATATTCAAACTGTTTAAACTAAACTGGCTACATTACAAATAGACAGCAATCTAAATTGACAGCAACAGGATGCATGCCATTTCTGTAGACGTCCCCTATTTACAGCAACTGCTGCCCTCACTCTGCAGCACCAAGGCAACCACAGCCAGGCAGGGGACTTCCAATAATGTCAAGGTCAGTTCAACCGTGCTCACTGTCAAACAGAGAATGTCAGTGCCATCCAGCTGGATACACACAGATAGGTAGCAACCAGAAATGTCACGTAGCTTTTGGTTATAAGAGCAGAACATTCTGCTACAACTCAAATGGCCTCAATAAGAACAGAAACTCACAGATGAGGGCATAGAGAGTATGGGGTTAAAGGGTAAAAGTCTTAAGGTTAACATAGGCTTGTAACATATTTAGACATGATTACATGGACTGGATCCCATAGTGCCCCATCCAGAGCCTTTTCAAAAACCACTAACTGTTTATTTTCCCTGCAGACGATTGCTGCCTCACAGAAATAGCCACCTCGCTCCTACCTAACACACAAAGCGAGTCACTATTGGGCCTCTTCCAAAAGAGCCAGACGGTGAACTAGGGAGGTAAATTCCATACAAAGAAGGAAAGCCTTTCTTTACCTCCTCCTCCTCCCCCACCACCTCCCGCCCTTCCTTGTTCGTTCCTCTGGCCATGAATACCGACTCAAATTACCAGCAGGCTCAACAAAGTCTTTTCACTTCCACTAGAACAGAGGCCATTTTGGGGACAAGTCCAAAGGGGGAGGGACATGCAGACAAAATGAACAGCAAAAGAGACCCCTCTCTCTTGTCATCTCTCGAATTACTCCGCTCTCCATTCTGTTTATTTTTATATACACATTTTGTGTTCTGATGATTTTAAGCACTGGTAGACGTGTATTGTGCCACCTTAAAATAAGCTACTTGATTCTACTTCAATATCTTAATATGTCCCTGAGGTAATATAGTAATCACATTTCATAGCGAGGGGGAAGAAACAAATCCAACCACGAGAGCATGTGCTCAGCAGTTCAAAGACATGAACACTCAAAAAGCCACACCTCGTCTGAACAGGGCTCAGCACAGCAAGGTTTTGTAGGGAACAAAAATAGACACGTCATGCACATGTAGACTGCCTATAGACAGTATAGCCTGCCACATGAACTCAATATTGCATTATCTTTCCAACACTGAATCATAGTGGATGCAATTCAGGCAACATGAAAAAAACACACGTGAACAACAAAAATAAACACAAAACTACTGCCAGGCTCTTTCACCATGGCATTAATAAGCTTCTCTGAGATGAACATACTATTGGGGTGGTAAGGGTGGAGATATCAAGAGAGAAACATTTACTTGTATATATTATATTTTGAAAATGAGGGACCTCAGAAATGTTAGGCTGTGAAACAGGTTTGGTCAGTCACATGTTATTCATCAGCAAATTTTCATGGCTGAATATATTTTTTCATTGTAAATAGTTAAATAGAGCGGAGCGAAAGTGTGTGGTATTTTTTAACCTAGCTTTGATGGAGTGTGCTAAAAAGTGAACTTCAGAGAGGATTTATTTTACAGAAACACATCAACTCCACAAATACAGACAGTATTAGACAGGAATGAGTTTCAAGCAAACAGTAATGTCACTTCAGTGTCCTGGAGCGGGAGAGGAGTCCAAATTGATGACTTGCAGGATTCCAAATCACAAGATAGTTGTGTGAACTGCACAGCAATCTGACGACTTTGAAAGTCATGTAGTGTGAACTTAACTCAATCTCATTCACTTTAAGTTCAAAGTAAAGAAATGACCACAAGAAAAGCGTCTATGGCAGCTTGTCATTCAGTGACTTCCATCACAGACTCAATGACTTAAGTGGGAATCTGGACATTAGATAGGGCACCTTGTATTTTGTCTACACACTCCCCTATCCTACATTCACCTTAACGGAAACATTGAACACTATACTTGCCCCTCCCCCCAAGGATTCAATTAAATAATTGATATCGCTTTCACATTTGGCTGTTAAATATGAAGCTACAGCCAGCAACCAGTTAGCTTAGCTTAGTATAATAATTAATAATTAGAATGGGTGAGACTGAAAGCAGGGCCATTAAATACTCTTTTAAAGCTCAATTACTCATTTTCACCACTAGTAAGCAGATGAATACAGCCACCACCACCACAGGTTAAAGCCAGCATGTTCAGCAGTCATGATTTTTACACTTGATCATCCATCTAGGGGGGTCTAGAAACTCACTGTCACAGGACCTTGTAAAATTTGAGTTATAGACATTCTTTATCACCCTACTTCACCTTTGGGATGATTTTTTCATGTTGTTATGCAGCTCCCTGTTTAAATCTTTCATTTTGCTGAACCACTTCCCCATAGCACTGTGGAGAGTCAAGTTGCTATTTGGAAAACTTTAGGTGCAAAGTGATTTGGAAAGCAGCAGCTTTCTCCGTGGTCTCCTACCATGGACATCACGTAACCATGAACACAGATGTTAACCACGTCCAATATATACCTTCAAGCCATTAACTCTAGGATTTTATTGTTTCCACACTGGTAAATCTGTTGGAGTCAAAACAGCTGCAAGTCACCTTGCAGGAATAGTACTAACACAACCAAATTTGTGTCCATTTATAGACTGTCTGTGGAATGGTAAATATTTAACTCTATTAGTTTGGCTATATCCACACTTATGTTTTAGTTTTTAGAACACTTTTGCTATATTTTGTCCTGGTATCCACACAACTCTGGAGTCTTCAAGCCCCTAGAACAGAGACTTGTGGAAATTCTGCAGGCCCTGGTTTAGATTGAAATCTCTGGTGTTGTGTTTTAGTCTACAGGGTTAGAAACTGAGACATTTGTTAAAGGTGACTAAGTCACCTATGTTCACTTCCTGATTGGTCATATCAGTCACAATGTATCCTGCCCTGATTTGTCGCACTGCTATTATGTGACCCTTTCCCAGAAAAAAGGAAGCAGCCATGACTCAACAATGCTGAATCCTATTGACTGAACAAGCAACTGTTGTGCAGTTAAATCCTGCACGTTATAAAGCTACACCTGCCACCATGCATAAAAAGAGAAAATGTATTACTTAACCAGTCTGGGACAGTTTCCATTGACATGCACTAGCATAGTAAATGGTCATGTAATGTGTTTTTAGACCTGTTAGTTATAAAGAGATTATTTTTGAATCACTTGTATGGATGTTTAAGTTTCAAGATTGTTTTGACTCCAAAACTGGAGACTCCTGACTCCAGTTAGCTTTTGTTGACGTTATTAGCCAACATGTTCACATACTTCTACATGAACAACAACAATACAACTAGGGGTTATTCGTTAAAAAAAGATTGTGTTTATTATAAACTCAACTGTGATTTAGTTGAAGATCTGAT